AGTCATGGCTTTAAGAACATGACTAAATGATCCCAAAGGAACTTTCTAACAGAGTCCTCCAAAGGGACCTCAGAGCGAGGGCACTGGTGGGAGCAATGACGTATGTGTGCAGATCCAGAATGCACGCACATGTAAGCCTTAAGGATGTTACTGTGGGTCAAAGATGGCAGCAAATTCTTTGCTACTCCCTTTTTAGAGGTGGAGTCTAATTCTGTTGAATCAGGGCTGGTCTTAGTGACTTGCTTGACCACCAGCGTGTGCAAGAAGGGACACTCTGAGGCGAAGTCAGAAGTCTTGCAGCTTCTACCTAGATTTCTTAGAACACTCCCTCTGAGGGAAGTCAACCACTATAAGAAATTTGACTACACTGAGATCACTCTGCGGTGAGGAAGTCCACGCTCACCACACTGAGAGACAGACAGACAGAAGAGAGAGAGATGCTCAGCCAGCCCCAGCTACTCCAGCTACAATAGCCCAGGCACCCGCGGTACGAATGAAAGAGCCATCTTGGACATTCCAGCCTCAGTAAACACAATGTGGAAAAGAACTGAGGATCCCAGCAGATAGCCAGGCATGTGGCTTTGGTTGAGTGCAGCCATGTCCAGTCATGAAGCCATCCCAGCTAAGGCTCCAGCCTGAATTTCTGGCCTACAGAATCATGAGCATAAGAAAATGGCTGTAATTTTATGCTGCTATGTTTTGGAGTAGTTTGTTCTATAAAAATAGATAACTGGAACAGATGTTGAAAAGAGGGTTTATATGACTCAGCTATTGCCACAATGACACAGCATAACACATGACTCCAAATCTCAGTAGGTTCAACAATAGCATTTTATTTTTCTCACTTAGGGGCCTGTGGGCTGCCTGGGATGTCTTCTTTAGGCAGCAAGGCAGTTGGCTTTGCAGGGGCAGGCTGGATTCAGACACGTTTCTCACCTTTGTTCTGCTGCCAAGCTAAAGGGACAGCATCTACCTGGGGCATGCTGACTCACATGTATGCAGGAGTCTAAGTACAACTCTGCAAAACATTTCGATGCCTCTGCTTGCTTCACACCCACTTATTTCATTGGCCAAGTACATCATATGGTCAAGCTCAAAATCAAAAAGGTGAGTAAATATACTCCAATCCAAGTGGGAGAAACAAGAGAGGAAATACTTACTGAACAGTACTTACTCCAACCTACTGAGAGTTTCTAGCATCAAACGATGGTGGTGGTGGTGGTGGCGAGTGGTATCAGACTGGACCACTTGTAAGGTATTTTGTAATTTGGTACTTATACAACTAAAATCCAGAGAAAACACATGTAAGTGTTGTAGGGGGAGGTGTCTAAATACAGGAATCAATGATTTTTTGTACTAAATACCAACAAGGAGGAGGCATGTAAAATTATGAAAAGACAAAAGAAATGTAATGGAAGTGCAGAAGGAGAGGAATTAAGAAAAAAAAAGGAGAGAAAAAGAAAGCAGAAAGTTAAACCCTTCAGCAACTGTTGGGGAGGCCAGGAGCAGATAACCTGCCTCTTGGTTTGCCTCACCTGCAGGGAGAGCAGCTCCAGGGCAGCCAGTCCCTGAAAGAAGCCCCCAGACACCAGCTCCTATTTAAAGAGAGGTGTTTCTAGGTCAAACATTAGGCGCAGCATAAGGTGCCCACAACACGGCTCTCCCACTCGGCACCACACTTATGTCCAGGGAAAGTGCCAGCAGGGCAGGTCGTTCATCACTCCCAGCGGAGGGTTAACTATTAACACAGCTCTGGGCTGCACAAAGCTGTGGGAAGCAGGCACGGTGGGAGCAAGGGGGCTTCAGAAAGTCTTTGCAAGAGAAGTGAACTGGGACTGCATGGAGAGGCGAGAAAATGTGGAAGCAGCACACAGCCCCATGTTTGTAGCGTGCCTAGAGGGTACAAACTTGGAGAGGGAACGGATGCCAGATCCTGGTAGGTGTTGAATGCCAGGATGAAAAGCGTATTCTTAATTCAGTGGGAGCCACTGAAAGCTTTTGAACAAGAAGTAGTATGAAGGAGTTGTCCTAGAATACAATTCTTTCCTGCTTCTTTAGTAACAGAGCACCAATCTTTTGTTAAAAAATTAATTTAATTAATTTATTTATTGAAGTATAGCAGACACACAGTGTTACATTAGTTTCAAGTGTACAACATAGTGATTCAGCAAGTCTATATGTCAAGCGGCGCTCACCCCAAGGGTAGCTGCCATCTGTCACCATACGCTATTACAATATCATCGACTATATTCCCTACGCTGTCCCTTTCATTCCCACAACTTATTCATCAGAAGCACCGATTTTTAACTGGGGATAGGCCTGTGAAAAATAAAGATTACATTTCCTAACTTCTCTTGCAGCTAGGTAAGGTCATGTTGTAAATTCTGTTTAATGAAATATAAAGCACATAGCGTGAACAACTTATAGGAAATATTCTTAAAGGGAGAGGACATTGCTCCTTCTTTTTTTTCCTACTGGAAAAGTGGAACCTAATCCTAACATGTATATTATGCATTAGGAAGATTGGCCTGGGGCAAGGCAAAATATAGGATGGCTGGAACAAGAAGAGCATTGGAGATAAGAAGACTAATTAGGAGAACATTTTGGTAGCCAAGATAAGAAGTGAGGAAATAAGACCTGAGCCAGAATGGTAGCAGTGGGAATGGATGGGAGGGGTGGATGTGATAAATATTGCCAAAGGAGTGTCTGTGGGACTTGGCAATTGATCAGATGAGAAGAGACACTAGAGAAGGAAGAACCAAAGGTCACCTGAGGCTTCATACAGAGACAACTAGGTGGTCAATAATGTTAGGTCACCTGAGGCTTCATACAGACATGACTAGGTGGTCAATAATGTTAATGTTAGTAATGTTAGCAGATATAGGGGGTCCAGAAGCCTTGAGAAATGCCACCATGAGTTTGATTTTGGAGGTGCTGTGGGTATGCTTGCAGGATATTCAGGTGGAGATATAAAGCAGGTAATTGAAAATTCATTTCTGGAGCATGATTTGAGAGTCCTTTGGGTAAAAGTGGTCATCAAAACAAAGGGAGGGGCTGGTTGGCAAAATAGAGAGCGTGTCTGTAGAAAATCCTTTCTTCAGTGCACACAGAGAAATAAACTGTGTTCTGAAAACATAAAAATATGTTAGCATGCTCCCCTCCTTCCATCAAAAAACGCCTACAAACTCCAGCCAATGGCTGGCTGACTGGCTGGCTTCAAGCAAGGAAATCCTCCCAGGTCTCAAAATTTGGACAGCTCCTTAATGTTCCTGAGGAAGGCATTTCTATTTGTACAAATATGTCATGACACGTTCGAAGATGCCTCCTTTTCAGCAAGAGATCTAGAATAATTGCCTTCCTCCTTAACTCAGGTTAGCCACATGTAAGAAGACTCCCTTTTCCCATAAGTCTTAAAAGACCGATTCCTTTCAAAAGCAGAAAGAGAAAATATGAAAAAACTAATACATGTGACAGAGTAAAACGACTCTGCAGAGGTCTCTCATATATCCGCCATGACCAGAGCAGATATTACATAAAAGTTGAAATAAAAAGGAATTGAGGGGGCGCCTGGGTGGCTCAGTCGTTAAGCGTCTGCCTTCGGCTCACGTCATGATCCCAGGGTCCTGGGATCGAGTCCCACATCGGGCTCCCTGCTCCGCAGGAAGCCTGCTTCTCCCTCTCCCACTCCCCCTGCTTGTGTTCCTGCTCTCGCTGTCTCTCTCTGTCAAATAAATAAATAAAATCTTTAAAAAAAAAAAAAAAAGGAATTGAGGGCGCCTGGGTGGCTCAGTTGGTTAAGCGACTGCCTTCGGCTCAGGTCATGATCCTGGAGTCCCAGGATCGAGTCCTGCATCGGGCTCCCTGCTCATTGGGGAGTCTGCTTCTCCCTCTGGCCCCCCCTCCTCTCATGTGCTCTCTCTCTCTCTCTCATTCTCGCTCTCTCAAATAAATAAATAAAATCTTTAAAAAAAAAAGGAATTGAATCGAATGTTAACATTAAGAAACCATCTTGGCAGGCTGGCTAAACCACTGTATGTAGTTTTCCTGCGACGGCTGGGGGCCGAGAGATGGAAGAGCTTAAAATCCAGTGGTTTGTGTACTACGTCGTAGAACTGCAACTGCAAGTGGTGGCGAGAGAGCTGTTGACTCTAGAAGAGTTTTGCGTCTTCAGGCTACATACAGCCCGCAGACAGCTGTCGGGCAACCGAGGGCCTATCCGGAAGGCTTTAAGCCCCTGCCCTGGAGAGCGCTAGCACGCGCAGTGGCGAGCCCGGGCGCTGGGTTTGGTGCCACCCGGGTTTCACTTACAGGTGAAGCTTTGTCAGAGCCCTTATCGAACGTGGGATAAGGCTTTTCTAATTCATCCACCCATCATCCATCTTCCGTCTCAGGGCCAGGCCTGCGGTGGGCACCCCGGCGTGCTTTATCCTACAGGACTCCTGGAGTAGGGGATTTAGGCAGGAGGACGACGCGGCCGGAGGACCTTCCGGGGTGGGGGTGGGGGTGCCTCACTGCGCTCGGCCCTTTTGCAAGAGAGGCGGGCGCGTTCTCGGACAGACCGCGGGGGCGAAGGCACCAACCTGGAGGGAACCCCTCCCCTAATCCCCAGGCCAGGGAACGCGCCTGGGTTCCACATTCTCCCGGGCCCTCTAACCCCGAGGGCCCAGATCCCGGCAGGCCCGAGCGGCCCCGGCAGGTGCCAACGAGCCCGGGCCGTGCCTCAGGCCGCGCCCCGCCGCGGTCACCCGGAGCCCGCCCCAGTTAGCGGGGCCGGACGGCAGCTGCGGGCGCCCGGATTGGCCGGCTCTGCCGGCGCCCCAGCGGCCCTGGCAGCGCCCCTGGCAGCGCCCCCAGCCCTGTCGCCCCTCCCCGCGCGCCGGCCGCCAGGGCGAGGGGCGCGCGGCGGCGGCTCCCGGGCGCTGATTGGCCGAAGCCGCGGGGGGCGGGGCGGCGGGTGTGAAGAGGGCGGGCTTGGGCTGCTCACGGCTCTCTCCCTTCTTCCCATCTGCGTCCTCTCTCGCGGCTCCCGCGTTGCATCATATCCAGCCCGTAGCCGCTGTGGGAAGGTTGGGCGCGGCGCGATCCACTCAGGCCGGGGCTCCAGCCTGCTCTCCCGCGCCTCTCCTGGCCCTTTCCACACCTGCTTCTGCACCCACGCCGGGAGCTCCCCGCGGACCGGCTCTCAGAGCCCGCGGAGCACAGCCGGCAGACGTCGCCAGCTCTGCCTGATCCGTTCATTGAGAGCCCGGCTTATCCCAGAGCCAAGTCTCCCGCCTCCTCCAGCTCGGGGCTGCGAGCAGCGCCATGGAGAAGAGTAGCGAAACTAACGGCTACCTGGACGGCGCCCAGACGGGGCCTGCAGCAGGGCTTGGCGCGCCCGGGTCCGCGGCGGGACACGCGCGGCGCTGCGCGGGCTTCCTAGGGCGGCACGCGCTGGTGCTGTTCACCGTGTCCGGAGTGGTGGCGGGCGCCGGCCTAGGCGCGGCGCTGCGCGGGCTTGGCCTCACCCGCACGCAGGTCGCCTACCTGTCCTTCCCCGGCGAGATGCTGCTCCGCATGCTGCGCATGATCATCCTGCCGCTGGTAGTCTGCAGCCTGGTGTCGGGCGCCGCCTCCCTCGACGCCAGCTCTCTCGGGCGCCTGGGCGGCATCGCCATCGCCTACTTCGGCCTCACCACGCTTGGCGCCTCGGCGCTCGCTGTCGCTTTGGCGTTCATCATCAAGCCTGGGTCTGGCGCGCAGACCCTCCGGTCCAGCGACCTGGGGCTGGAGGAGTCGGGGTCCCCTCCGGTCCCCAAAGAGACAGTGGACTCTTTCCTCGACCTGGCCAGGTAACGCCCCTCCCCCCCAACCTCGCCAAGTGCACAGTGAGGGACACAAGCTCTCTAATGCACTCCAGTGCGTGCGCCCCCCCCCCCCACATACACACAGACACACCACACTCATAAACTGCTAAGAGTTCATTCTTAATTGGCTGCTGGTGATGAACCAGTCCTCCCATTAGGTGGGAGTGTTAGGGAAGAGCAGCTGTCTCACCTGTACCGTACTCCTTACACCATCTGGCCGCCCTTACCAGTAAAAACGTTCCAAACACACCCCATTATCTTCACCCTATTTTCTCGGCGCGGTCCCCGAAAGCTGTTGGGAGCATTAGTTAAATTTTGCCTGTATCATCCTCACCTGTAATCTCTGGCCTTCCCTGTTTCAGCCCTTTGGCTGAGAGGAAGGTGGCAATTTTTGAAGACTTGTCAGGGGACCCAAGGATAACAGGGCTGGGGTTAGTTGTATGAGGCCCATTGCCCAGACACATGGCTCTCCGGGGGGCTTGGGACAGGTTGCTGTCCACCCCATAGTCAGGATCACTGTAGAGTATTGTTGGGTTTCAAGGAGCTTTATTTCTGGAAGGGTGAGTTCTAGAGGGGAAGGAGTTTTGCTTGCTCTTTGTGACTCTTAGAAGTTGCATTTTATCCCTTGAGATGCATAGTTGTTTCTGAATTATCCAAAGCCTCAGCCTCTCTTGGTTTCTCCATTAGCCCAGAGTTCACAGATAGGAGAACTGCAGCCTGGAGGCATTTAAGGTCCTGGCCAGGTTCAGCTGAGTGAGGAGCTCAGCTGGCTCCTCCAGGTTTCCGAAAATTCTGGATTCGGAGGCTTGGAGGTATGTTTTGTCTTGAGTCACTGAGGCAAAGCTCCTCATGGCTGAGGCTGCAAAAAACAGCAAACCCTGGGCAAAGTGACTTGACTTCCTGCTATTTCCTTTTCTCCCTCTGGAAAATGTGATGACTGTCTGCCACTTGAGAGTGTGTTCATTTGAAACTACAACAACAACAACAACAATAAAAAGTCCAAGGCTTTTGTATTGGAAAAAAAAAAAAAACCCCAACCCAAAACCTCCGATGAGGGGGACCAAAAAGTTCATACCAAAAAGGCAGATGGGGATGGCCTAAGAGGACTTTGATGTGATCACAGTCTTTGGTATCTGGCAACTTGATATTTGGTCTTCTGAGATCCTTAAAGTTTTAGGACTTTTAGGTGGGTGCTGAAAACAAAGTCTGCTGAGGTTGAGAGTGCTTTTGGCTTATTACATTCAGTGTATCAGTCAGCTTTCCCCAGGAGGGAAGGTGGTTACGGGGTTAAAGGATTCTTTTTTGCAGGGATCAGTGGCCCAGGGAAGGGAGTATGGATGCCCAGCTCTGACCTGCTGGTGGTACCCCAGAGGGAGGCTCAGTAACATTCTTTTATCTCCAAAAGAGGGACAGTAGCCCCCAAATGGCGCAAGGTAAGGTGAGGGGTTACTTTATTACCACCTGTCTCAGAAAGGACATCTTATTTCCTGATCGTGGTTTTCTAGTCTTGGATCCAAGCCCCTACAGCCGCTGCTTCTGAAGCGAATGGTGACCCAGCATCATGGCTTAGTGGTCTGTCTGGGTGCAGACTTTTCAGTGACTTGGGCTGCAGATGCAGGAAAGGACTAAGAGAACCTTTGTCGTGGCTTGTTGGGAATAGGCAGCATTTCATAATGCTTCCACAGCCAGCCTCCAGCTGCTCAAGGATAAAGGTAGGGCAGGTGCTATGATCTGTTTTAGGACTGAGGAAACAGACAGAGAGAGATTAAGTGATTTGCTCAAGGTCACAGAGTGGTTTATTGAAAGAAGGATTCGCGAAACTCTGGGTCTTGTGCCCCACAGTTTGGGGTTCTGCTTCTCCCACTCTTCCCTCCCCCAAGTCAATATGCCATAGTAATGGTGCCATGCTGCTGGTCCAGTGCGACCGTCTCAGAAATGTTTGCTCTGGGCCAAAAGGGAATCAGGTAAGAATATGATTTGGGTCAGGGCAGATGCCCACTTCCTCTAAACAGAGGACCTGAGCCCCATCAGTGAAGGAAAGCCTGTGTACTGCTGCTCTGATTTGCCTTCACATTGAGCAGCTTGTGAGAGGGAACTGAGTTCTGAGCCATGTCTAAGTGCTTCCTGAGTCCCTGGGTCAAAGTTTTAAATTTGCTTCCTTCAAAGAAACCCCGCAGATGCTGATTTTATGGGACTCTGGGCATGTTCCTTGGCAAAGGCAGGGCGCAGTCCTTTCTGCCTGTGGGCACTGAATGAAGTGAGAACACGGGCAAACACCTCAGTTATCCAACAGGCCCTCACTGGGTAACTGCCCAGAACCAAACACCCAAAAGGAGTGGGAGAAGTCTCTGATAATATAGTGTAGCTGCTGCTGGAGCTTTGCTGGTGGTGGAGTGCCTCAGGGTCTCTCTGCTACGGTTTCTAATTTTTCTCAAGATGGAACTACAAGTCAGAAAGAAATGAAGCTAACAGATATTGAGTATAACTTTTAGAAAATTTTCAGAATGCCGTTGCTGAGTGGTTTGATTTCCCAACACACAATGGATTAGAAATAACAAAGGCCAGGGAGTGTATGTGAGGCACAGGTGCTAGAAGCAGGCCCTTCGAGAGCTGAGAAGGGGTGATGGAGAGCAGCTAGCAGGTGGGCAAGTTCCAGTCTCCTACTGAGCAGCCCAGAGCTTTATGCCTGGAGACCCAGAACAGTACAGGACTCTCAGAACTGGGTATGACCCAAGTGATTGAGCTGTGACTGTTCATCTAAAATGAAATGGTTTCGGCACCAAAGAGACTGAAACAGATTATGAGGAACTCAGTCATTATGGAACTTCTTGGTCCCTAACAAGGCTTACTGATTGTGAGTCCTAGAGCATGTCCCTAATTTCTGTGTCTCAGCTTCCTCATCTCTGTAACGGGCATCATGAAAGTACTTACCTCGGAAGATTGTTCTGAGGGTTACATGAGTTATGTCTGTAAAGCTGTTTGACCAGGGCTGGCGCACTCTATGCTTACTCTGGTTATAAATGGAGCAGTATTACAGAGCTATCGGGAAGTTGTGTTTGTTTCACATGAACTTATGGGGATGGCCCTCTTTTCATAGTCTAAAAGAAAAGAGACTAAATTTGGGGCGGAATGTTTGGGGGAGCTCAGGATGACTTGAAGCTAATGTTTTTAGGTGTGTTGGGAACTACATGGAACTTGGAGAAAAAGAAGTGAACAGTTACTATGTTTTGGACTAATAGAATGAACACTGTGGGGAAGAAAGGGGGAGGGTGCCGGGGTGACTCATTCGGTTAAGCATCTGCCTTCGGCTCAGGTCATGATCTCAGGGTCCTGGGATCGAACCCCGCGTCGGGCTCCCTGCTCAGCAGGGAGTCTTTTTCTACCTCTAACTTCCTTTACGCGCTCTCTCTCATATAAATAAATAAAAATCTTTAAAAAAAACCCAACACGTGGGAATTTTGGAAAATGTAGAAAAGTCAAAACTGAACACAGAAGAGCCTTCCATTCTAAAAGGGAGCAGAAATCCTCACATACCCTCTCTGACATTCCAGTTTCTGCATTCCTGCCCCCCACATTACATGTTTGTGGTCTCCAAAGTTGACCAGTCGACCTAAGTGGAAGGGATTGAGACCACTGGCTTCTAACATTCCCTTGGGTGTTAAAATTTGTAGTTTTCAAATGGAAAACCAGAGGCTTATCTGCAAAGGTGGCAGGTAGGGACAGCTCCTGGGTGGGGCCCAGGGCTCCGTCTGGCCCCAGGCCACTGTCTTTTGCAGAAGCTTAGCAGGGTGCAGCCCTGTGCCTGCCTGGGAGACACAAATGAGATTCTGCCTGTTGCCCAGTTTTCTAGACTTTATATTTTTTTCTTGTGCTCATTTTCTCAACAGTGGACAGTGCTTTGAGACTTTCCCTTCACAGAGGGAGGCATGAGGGACTGACTTTTCTGGTCAAGGACTGGTGTGAATATGATGCCTCTCAACTTGCAAAGAACACACTTCTTGAATAGCTTCAAAGGAACCTATCAGAGGCCGAGCTCTAATATTAGCCCCTAGATCGTAGTCAAGGGAGTGAATAGTGAATAATTTCTTTTAGATGTTGGCCATGGCAGGCTGTTTGTCATATGCCTACGTCTCTCTTCTGTAGGCAAGACGAAGACTCTTAGCAAATCTAACAAGGATCCATTAATGGAGGTTTCTTAGTCTAATTAGTCACTAAAGGGAAAAAGTGGCAGCTTGTTATTTAAAAAAATAATGAAAGCTTTTACCTTGACACCTTTCCTTCTGCCACCCAGGAGACTACCTGAATAGTTCACAGAGACTGAAAAGAGCATACACCCAGTGAGGCGGCATGGGGGGGGGGGGGTGATGAAAAGCAGACACTGAGGTCAACTACCTGAGTTCGAATCCTGCTCTACCACTTACTAGCTGTATGGACAAGTCTTTAAGCCTCTCTATGCCTCGGTTTTCTTATCTGTAAAATGAGACTAATAATAGTGTCTACTACCTACATTTGTTATGAGGATTAAATGAGTTAATATTGGAGTGTCTTGCTAATATTCTCAAGTGTCCCAGCCCCTCAGGGATAGCCCTCAGGCCACTTGTTACAGAGGATTGGTGCTGTTTTTAATCTTATTTCCCCAAAAATCCTCCACCCCAGGGGCCTGGCATTAACCTTTCCAGCTGGAACCTAAAACTAAAACTGGATATGGGCCTTAAAAAGAGGGTAGATTACTCCTCTGCCCCCCACTGTCACCAGAGTATAAGCCCACTACCCCCAGCCCTTCCTCTGCTCCCAGCCTTGTGGGGGGTACCAAGATCTGAAGGGGCATGTCCCTGTTAACCAACTCTATAACAATAAACACTAAGGATAATAAATATTTAGTAGGTGTACATACCGTGCCATATCCTGTTCTGAGCAGTCTTTGAAATTTTCATAAATTCAGTAAAGAATTTTTGAACTTAAATAAAAGGAAATATTTCTGGAACAAAAAAATATACCTAAGCAAAAGTAAATTGTTTTCCATTCTTCTCATATAGGATAGGGAAATGCATACCACCCTTGACATTTAAATAGGATCAGAAGAGCAAACAGTACCAGATGTATAAAGAAGGAACATTTTTGAAGTTTTTCATTGTGTGAGCTGCATGCCTGTATACCACCACTAACAGAAGTTCAGCCTCCTCTCATACCAGGTTTCCTGTTTAAGTAATGTACCCAGAGGTTCCTCTAGCACTGGAAAGCCTTGTCCATTCATTCTTTTCTAATTTGGTCTGACGTGGGTCTCTGAATTTAGTAGGGACTTGACATTTTTGCAGATGTTTTTGACTTAGACCTACTCTAAGAAATACATTTTAAATTATGGCTTCAGTCCACATATAGCCCCCCGCCCACATACACAACATGAAACAAATGCCCAAACAGCATTTTAAATGTGATACATGCTGGTATTTTCAATTCTGTCTAATGTATTACATATTTTATGAAATGTTGGCTATAACTAATAAATTGCTTTCATGGCCTACTAATGTTAGAGAAACTCTGGTCCAGTATAGATCTAGTATTATGTAATTTAGGTAAATTTCTAAGGATCAAATAAAAGAATAATGAAATATTTGAGAGTTTGAATAAGATGAAGAGCTCAGTGGTTAGAAGCCCCCTAATACCCAGTGAAATTGAGTACTGTGTAGAGGTAAAGCATGGAAAGACCATTTGATCCTTCTTACTCCCTCCCAGACTCTGGATCTCAAAACTCCAGATCTGCAATGTCCAGTATGATAGACACTAGCTGCAAGTGTTTACATTTAAGTCATTTCAATGTAAATAAAATAAAATAATTCAGATCCTCCGTAGCACCAGTCATATTTCAAGTATCCAACAACCATATGACTACCATATTGGACAGTGTTAGTCTAGGTGGAGCATGAATGGGAGATGTACCAGCTTAATATCTCTGGTGTCCCCATGTGCTAAATGAGGGTGTTGATCTTGACCACCTCTAAAATCTCTTCCAGCTCAAATGTTTCTTATTTTGAAAGCACACGGAGTTATTGTGTGAATGTGAGGAGTTAGGAAAAGTGCCTGAAGACAGAGCTCTAAGGGCAGGCAAACCTGCTTACAGGACAAACAGCTGATCCCTGAACGCAGGAGAGCTCAGGAGTAAGGAAGCCAGAGTTCATTCACAGCAGCGTCTGTGTTTAAAAGCCAAAGGGAGAGGGGTAAGAAGCTTGCAGAGAGGAGATCAAAGTCAGAGGGCTGACACTACCCGACTATGTAAGACTTACCATAAAACAACAGTAGTCAAGACAGCGTGGTGTTGGTGAAGGAATAGTCAAATAGACCAATGGAATGGAATAGAGAGCCTGTGTAAATGTAGTCAACTGATCTTTGACAAAGAAGTAGAGGCGATACAATGGCACAAAGATAATCTTTTCAACAAATTGTGCTGGAACAGCTGGACATCCGACACCTAGACACAGACCTTGCACCATTCACAAGAATTGACTCAAAATGGGTCACAGATTAAATGTAAGATGGAAAACTCTAAAACTCCTGGAAGAAAACGTAGAAAACCTAAATGACCTTCAATATGGCAATGACTTTTTATTTTTTTTAATTTTATTTTATTATGTTAGTCACCATACAATACATCATTAGCTTTTGATGTAGTGATCCATGATTCATTGTTTTCGTATAACACCCAGTGCTCCATGCAGTACGGGCCCTCCTTAATACCCATCACCGGGCTAACCCATCCCCCCACCCCCCTCCCCTCTAGAACCCGCAGTTTGTTTCTTAGAGTCCATAGTCTCTCATCATCTCTCCCTCCGATTTCCCCCCCTTCATTTTTCCCTTCCTTCTCCTAACGTCCTCCATGCTATTCCTTATGTTCCACAAATAAGTGAAACCATATGATAATTGACTTTCTCTGCTCGACTTATTTCACTTAGCATAATCTCCTCCAGTCCCATCCATGTTTTTGTAAAAGTTGGGTGTTCATCCTTTCTGACGGCTGAGTAATATTCCATTGTATATATTGACCACATCTTCTTTATCCATTCATCTGTTGAAGGGTATCTTAGCTCCTTCCACAGTTTGGCTATTGCAGACATTGCTGCTATGAACATTGGGGTGCATATGGCCCTTCTTTCCACTACATCTGTGTCTTTGGGGTAAATACCCAGTAATGCAATTGCTGGGTCATAAGGTAGCTCTGTTAATTTTTGGGGGAACCTCCCTACTGTTTTCCAAAGTGGCTGTACCAACTTGCATTCCCACCAACAGTGTAAGAGGGTTCCCCTTCCTCCACAACCTCTCCAACATTTGTTGTTTCTTGCCTTGTCAATTTTTGCCATTCTAACTTGTGTAAGGTGGTATCTCAGTGTGGTTTTGATTTGAATTTCCCTGATGGCTAATGATGATGAACATTTTTTCATGTGTCTGTTAGTCATTTGTATGTCTTCTTCAGAGAAGTGTCTGTTCATGTCTTCTGCCCATTTTTTGACTTGATTATGACAATGACTTTTTAGATACAACACCAAAGGCACAATCTGTGAAGGGTGCAGAGAAGTGTTTTTACTTTACTCCCACAGCCTCAGCTCCTTGCCATTGTATGTATGGGTAGGAGGAACAAGGGAAAGGAGAATGATTTTGTGGATGCATGAGCTATATCTCACTGCCCCCAGGTGGTGCCTTCCCAGGGATTAATATCTGAGAGCAGAGCTATAGAAAATTCAGTCATCCCTTTGAATGTATGTATTTTTTTTGGTTGTAAATTCTTTGCAGTTAGTACTATATCCTGTTTTTTAGCCTTTTATGCAATTTTGAGATATGATTTAAATACAATAAAATGCACCCATTTTAGGTGTAGAGTTCAATGAGTTTTAATAAAGAATGAGTTGCAATAAAGAAAGTCTAATAGCGAGAAGGAAACCCCAATTTTATGTAACCTAATCGTGAAAATGACATCCATCACCTTTGCTGAATTCTGTTGGCTAGAAGCAAGTCATAGGCCCCAGCCACACTCAAGGGGAAGGTATCGTACAAGGTGTAACTACCAGGAATCTGTCTTAGATGGCTTGCCAAGTCAGACCTACCTACCTCTGAAACAAAAAGCACTGCAAATGGTTGCCTAGAGATTCTGGTGCTAGGTAAACAACTCAGCCACAGAAGTAAGTATTAATGGATAAGTTTGGCATAATTGTAAAGGATGATTCAGTCTTTTACAAATGGACCATCACTGGGATTTTGTTACATATCAAGACCAGCGTCCCGCATAGAGCCTGACCCAAAGGAGGCCCTCAATAAAAACTGTTCACATGAATAGATTTTGGTTTCAAAATCTAGCTTAACTTGACCAGCCCTATTGCCCTCCTTTTAGAACAAACACTTCATAAAATCCTTCATCCTGAAATGAAATCCATAAATAGAATTTCAGTTCATTTCAATTTCAAAGCATCAATATGACTCAACAGAAAGATAAAAGGAGAGTAATTTATAATAAAAAATAATGTGTTTCAATATGTAAAGATCCTAATTAGGTGTTTGCTTCTGAATTTACATTCACCATTTATGAGACAGCTGTAAATGCGGGCTGGTACTTGATACTAGTGTGTGCAGTTAAGGACCCAGAACCTACAATTTGCCATTGGTGATGTGATTTTCCAGAAAGATGAATAATCTTTAGAAACATTCTGAACAAACCAAAATAAAAACTTATTCCACGTTTTGCACAGTAATTGTGTTCCTAGAAAATTCAGTGTATGTCCAAATTGTGCAAAAAAAAAAATATATACCTTGTTTTGGAATGAGTTTAGGCTGAGGTAATTATAAATAAGGCTTTCATCTATAGGTATGTCATATAGGACATTTGGAAAGTGTGAGGGCCACACTCAGTAGAATGAATGGCTGGGACCTGGCACTCCCCGCTATACACACTCCCCAATGGTAGGAATGCCCCCCAATTATTTTGACAATGAAAACACTCCCTTGGATTTTACCAGTGGGCAATACCACTACTGTTGAAAACCACTGCAACAGGGTTTAACTTCTAGGGGAAGTGATGCCGTTTTTCTGGAGTGCCACGATGGAGATAAGGATAAAAATCGGTGTGCCCCGAGTATCTGTTGTGGCCCAGCAGCCGAGGCCTAGCTGGGTGCTTGGATAAAGCAGGGACCATAGTAACTCCTGGACAGAGAGGGAACACTGTGTGTTAGGCTGTCAGGAACGGGCATCTGAAAGTGGACACTTTGAGTGCTGAATTTTAAGAACACTGACAAAGTGCTTTCTTTTCCAACAGAAACCTGTTTCCCTCAAATCTTGTGGTTGCCGCTTTCCGTACGGTAAGGCTTGATGCTTTCCAAAAAATAAGAAACGTTTATGGGGGTGGTGTATAAATGATGCTATGCAGTTAGGTAAGGTGGATCAGAGAGGGGTAGTGTTGTTAACAAAACTTGGTAAGCCTGGCCTAAATTTTTGTAGAGGGGACCCTGGAGTAAAAACAAAATGAAATGACAAAAAACAAAAAGATTTTCTAAAATATCCCACTGGTTCCACCATCCTTTCATATCACCTGAGAAATACTCTTAAATAACATTTTTTTTTTAAGATTTTATTTATTTATTTGAGAGAGAGAATGAGAAGGGGGAGGGGTCCAAGGGAGAAGCAGACTCACTGCCGAGCAGGGAGCCCGATGCGGGACTCGATCCCGGGACTCCAGGATCATGACCTGAGCCGAAGGCAGTCGCTTAACCAACTGAGCCACCCAGGCGCCCTCTTAAATAATATTTTGAGGATCTCTTAAATATTTTAGAATTTTTAAAAAATATACTTTTATCTTTTTTCTGATTATAAAGGTAATATATGCTCATGTAAAAAATAAAAAATAAAGTGCAAAAATATGGAAGAAATTAAAAATCACTCATAATCACTACCTAGAGATACCCATTAACATTTTGGTATACGTCCTTCAGATATGTTTTTTCTCTGCATGTGCCACACACGTTTTAAAAATAAAAACAATTGTACATCTGCCTTCGGCTCAGATCATGATCCCAGGGTCCTGGGATCGAGCCCCACAGTCCTGGGATCGAGCCCCACATCAGCCTCCCTGCTCGTGGGGAAGCCTGCTTCTCCCTCTCCTACTGCCTCTGCTTGTGTTCCCTCTCTCTCTGTGAAATAAATAAATAAAATCTTTAAAAATAAATAAATAAATAAAAATAAAAACAATTGTACTACACATTTTGTTAGTATGTATACATACTACACATACTGTTTTTAACCTCTTTTTTTAAGGCGGCATATTTTAAACATTTTTTCATGTCAGTAAATACCCTTCTGCATAATGTTAATGGCCCTATTCCAATGTGTGAGCATATCATAATTTTATTGTCAGTCCCTTTTTGATAGACATTCAGATTGTTTCTAGTTTTTCCTAATTTTAGCAAGACTGCAAGTAATGTCCCTGTAGCCATGCTATATGAGGAGAAGGAGTATAAAGGTCTAAATTAGATGGACTAATCTCATTGCCTTTTAAGCAAAGACTTTTCTGTTTCTATTTACAGCCTCTCCCTCTCTGTCTTTCCAAAAAAAAAAAAAAAAAAATGTGTGGGATGCCCGGGTGGCTCAGTTGGTTAAGCGGCTTCCTTCGGCTCAGGTCATGATCTCAGGGTCCTGGGATCGAGCCCGGCATTGGCATTGGGCTCCCTGCTCAGCGGGGAGCCTGCTTCTCCCTCTCCTTCTGCCCCTCCCCCCTGCTCATGCGCTCGCTCTCTTTCTCAAATAAATAAAATCTTTTTTTAATCTGCATATAAGTACAGCTGTGGCTTATATTTATAATGTGAGGTAGGAAAAAAACAAAAGGTTTATGGGGCTTTCAGTGCCTCTCACAGAAGGCATGGGATGGGTTTTTTTCCCGTCACCTGTAATCACAGGATAGCTGAACACCTCTGCTTGTCTGAAAGCTTGATAAATCCAAGGTGAGAGAGACCAGGCCGCATCAAAGGCAGGCACAAAGCAGTACCCCATAATGGGCTCCTCTTGACAGTTCAGAGCCAGGTGTCCTTAGAAGGGGTCGGGAAAGGCATTTTATAAGAAACTCCATTCAGTTGTGCATTTTGCCATAGGGAGACACCTGCATGCATGCATTGTGCAGAAGTATGTGAAGTCAATTGTAGGACCCAAATTTGGAGAGTCATTTCACTTCTGATAAGTGAGTCTCCCACAAGACTTAGCCAAAAAATGCCATCTTGCCTCACATCCTTTGCTTTGGAGAGCGGAGGCCAAGCCGATTAGAAGTAGATGCTGAGGGGCGCTGGGTGGTTCAGTAGGTTGTGTCTGCTTTTGGTTGAGGTCATGATCTTGGGGTCCTGGGATAGCTGCGCATTGGGCTCCCTGCTTAGCGGGGAGTCTGCTGCTCCCTTTCCCTCTGCTCCTAACCCCTCCCCCACACCTGGTTCATGCTCTCACTCTCTCTCTCTCAAATAAATAAATAAAATCTTAAAAAAAAAAAGAGTAGATGCTGAAAAGCAGTCAAGCTCAAATAAGTTCTGGAACAAAGTGGAACATATGAATGAAAATAAAATGACACATTGAAAAGTGAACTTCAACATTATGAAATTAATACCAAAGTTTAAAGTGTCAGGTGTTCGAAATATCAAACTATCAGCATGAAATTTGTAGACCTTTTCCTCCAAATCATTGCCCCTAATGGTGTGGGTCCCTAAATAACTCAGAGGCCTCTTGGGATATATGCTGCCTTGGTCTTAAGTAACTTTTGTATGGTTCTCAGAGGCCCTCATTAGGCCAACCAAGTGAGGAATTCCCAGAACCCTCGGAGTGAATAAGAAGAGTAGTAAGAGGTCCAGCAGTCCTCTTAGAGTCTCTAGTCGGCCTTCACCTGTGAACTGACAGCATCTTCTTCTTTCTCTTGTTCCTAGTATGCAACTGATTATAGAGAGGTGACCCACAACACGAGCTCTGGAAATGTAACCCATGAGAAGGTAAGGCTCTTTATAAGATCACTTGTGGCTAATAACTTATAAAACAAATAATGTTTTTTAATTGAAGGAGCATACAAGATGCATCCTCTCAGCAGGGCTGAAAACTCTGGGGTTTGAAGGAACTATTTGAAGAACATAATTAGGCTTGCTCCTTAGGTTATTTACCAACATGGCCCAAGGCCAGCCTCTGCAGCACTGTAATCTTTAGCAGATCCATTTCATCAAATTGGAACTGATGTCCCTTTCTTCAAAAAATACTTTATAACACCCCTTCTGCTATCCTGAAATATAATAGGTGATTTAACCTATCTCTACACACAGAACTTAACTCACTATAGCCATCATTCACTCACACATATTTTTTGAGTAGCCATTATTGGTTGGACACTGGGTAAGGTCCCAGCCTTCATGATAGAGCTGGAAGGACAAGGGGAGGGACCAAGATAATCAAGGATTATTCAGTGCTGCTACAGAGCTGTCATGGGAAGAAGGAGGTACTTCACCCTTTCCCTATCCCCACACATACAGCTTCTCAGGGCTGAGGGGCTCTGAGTTCTACCAGCCTTTCTTTGAGGAAAAGTTGTACTTAAAAAAAAAAAAGTCAAAAGCTACTAGTTAGTCCAAATCACTTCCTCTTGCAGATGAAGGACTTGAAGGTCAGAGAAGTTATTTAATATCAGAGCTGGGACTAGGACTCAGATCTATGGTAAAAATGTTCTTTCTCTTTTTACCATGCTGCTAGATATTTCCCATTCAGAATTTCATGTGTTTTGATGGAATAATATGTTTGTCCAATGTATGCTTGTAGTAGTGAGATTGAGCATTATGGAAAAAAATAAGGAATATAGTATATCCATATATTTTATTTTAAGTCAGTGACTCAGGAAAGAATATCCTTGAAAATCTTTTGTGAAATTTGTCAGCTAGGAGGCCACAATAACAGTCTAGCAACAAAAGATTTGTTGACATTTGGGAGGCACAGTTACAATCATTGACTCTCGATCTGAAGGAACTTTTCACCAACCAGCTTTTATTTTTTTTTTTAAATTTTTTTTTTTATATTTATTACTGCAGTGTAGTTGACATGCAGTGTTATATTAACCAGCTCTTCTTTTAAAAGCAACCTTTTGGGGGCGTCTGGGTGGCTCAGTCGGTGAAGCATCCAACTCTTGATCTCAGCTCAGGTCTTGATCTCAGGGTCATGAGTTCAAGTCCTGCGTTGAAAATGCTACTTGATAAAATAAAATAAAATAAAATAAAATAAAATAAAAGCAACCCTTTGAAGTGATTGTCCAACCGCTACTTGAATTCTCACTCATCTGTTGTAAACTTAGACCCTCTGTCCCCTCTGATCCCACAGATTCCCATTGGCACCGAGATCGAAGGGATGAACATTTTAGGATTGGTCCTCTTTGCCCTAGTGTTAGGAGTGGCCCTAAAGAAACTCGGCTCTGAAGGAGAAGAGCTCATCCGTTTCTTTAATGCCTTCAATGAGGCGACGATGGTGCTGGTGTCGTGGATTATGTGGTAAGTTTGGCCCGCCTGCTACTCTCCCTCTCATTTCTTTTGCCATCCAGAAAAGAACCCAAGTCTGCTGTCCTAGGTCACCCCTGTGGGGCCGCCCAGCTAAGTGCTTCGCCTGTGATTAATGCATCATAGGCCAAACCTGATACAGTGATACAGGGGGTCGTGGAGGTGGAGACAGTTTCTCCTCTTGTCCAGGACCTCAGAGAATCAGGCATGTGCCATAGTTACCAGTCCCTTCTTCAACACCCACAGGGACCCTTTATGGTTCTATCACTTGTGATTTATTTATGAGTTTCCCCCATTATCCATAACATATGGGATGCCCATATCATCTTGTGGGGTAATGAACTCCATAAGTGTGCTACCTGCTGCATAAAATAAGGCTTATTTATCTTAAAACAGTAGACTTCAAGCTTCAAAGGGGCCCCTTCCTATAATATTTCACAGCATGGAAGACAAATTCATTTGCACCCCATGCATATATAAACTTGGAATGGTCTCTTTTCACATAAATGTTTTTTTATGTAACATCAATAAAAGCACAGTTGTTTAATAAAAACCATTGGATTGATTTCTGGCTAACAGGTAAAAATTTGACCAGAGGTCTCGAAGTGACTTCTCAGAAATCATGCCAATTCCAGTGCCTATCCCTCATTAGCTTTATCTTGCTGTTTTACTTGAGCCAAACTTCTGTGGGTTTTAGCTTCTATACTCGTACGTTGTCCAGAAATGTAGTTTGTCCTTTCATACATGAAGCATTTTCCTTATCGTCAACCCTTAACTATCCCACAACTTCTCTATCTCAGGTGGCATGGGGGTGGCAGATCTTAGGAGAGAAGACTGGAATTTGGTAGTAAAGTTTGGAATTGAAGGGGAGGCCAAGTCCAGAGCTCCCACTGGTGGTGTTTGTCTTCCTCAATCAAAAATTCCAGAGTCTGACTCTATCATTGCAAACATGACTATTCATATGACTGTTGTTGTTCTGGGGAGAAAAATATTTTCAGAAAGGAAAAAGTGTTTTCATCACATGTCAGGTTCTTTCCCTTTCCCTTATTTTTTTTAGTCTAAAATCCTCCCAAAGTTTGGATTAAAGGAAATTATGCAAGAAAGTGATGTTACGATGTTAAGACATTTGTTTTCAATCTGAAAACCAATTTATAGTCATTCCTTCAATTCAATGTACTAGTTATATAAGCGGGTGTTCAGTAAGGCAGATCCTGCTGTGTGTTTGACTGCAGTGGGAGATCTGTTGCCCAGCAAGTGCATCTCACACAAAATTCGGGTTTAAAATGCCTTACCTGGTTAAAGGATCTCAACCAGGTTTGAAAGGGATCTCCAGTAGCAGCTCTTTCTGCTATCTTTCCTTTGCTGATTACTTACTGTAATGTCAAAGCACCTGCCTGTCCTGCACTATTCACAGAAATAATGCCTCAGTTGATTAAATACAGGCTCAGCAAACTTGGCAGACCATATGGTCTCTGTCACAACTACCAACTCTGCCATTATAGAATGAAAGCAACTGTAAACTATTTATAAATGAATGAATGTAGTTGTTCCAATAAAATTCAGGGTGCTAACCCATGCATTAAACCATCCAAGGAGGAAGGAAGAAAGGAGGAGGGGGGTCCCCTAAAAGTATTAGAAGAAAACATAGGGGTATGGAAACTCTGCCTAAATGGAATGCAAAAAGCCATAAAAAGCTGCTAAATTTGACTACCTCAAAATATAAAATGTTTGTATACAAAAGATACCTTGAACAAAAGAAGACACTGAAAAAAATTTATATATATTTACCTATAATGTATATATGAACACACACACATAATCTCAAAGCATTAGTTTCCAGAGGACTGGTACCAATTCACAAACTTTATCTGTCTGCAATGAGATTTATAGGGAAATTGAGGATAAGTGTTTAGAAACTTTTGTAGCAATTTCATATTGCTGCAACATCCAAGCACATGATCACTTTTCTAATATTTTATTTCTGTTGTCTTTTATAAGAATATGGTCCATGACCAACTGGATAGAAATACACCAAAGATCATTTGAGAAGCACTAATACAAAGATTTCTGGTCGTTGGGAAAAAGAAAAAAGACTAAATATACTATTAGAAAGTAGACAAAGTATGTGAGCAGGCAATTCATAGAAGAGGAAACCTGAATGACCAATAAACATTTTAAGGGATGCCCAACTTACTAGGATTAGGAAAATGAGAAGTTTGGTTTTATTAGGCGTTGATAAGAGTGAGGATAGTTTTGAGCAAACGTTAGGGTGTTTAGCAGCATCCCTGGCCTCTAGATGCCAGTGACACCCCTCCCCAAAGCTATGACAACCAAAAATGATCTCCAGACATTGCCAAATGACCCACAGGGGCAGAATCATCCCTGGGTCAGAACCAGTGGTTCAGGGGAAAGATTATTCTCCTGGACAGCTGGTGGGAATATGAATTGGAACAGCTACTTTAAAGAACAATTTGTTGATATCTACTAAAATTTAAAATATGCACACCCCATAATTCAGCAGTTCTACTTCTTGGTGTCTCTACCTGGAGAACACAGGCAGGTACGCACAAAGAGGCTGCTTGCAGCGTTGTTTATGATGATGAAAACCTGGGAATAGTCTGGAGGTCCATCAGCGGAACAATGGCAAGATAATCTGTAGTATTTCAGTTTTGAGGCTAATATTTAAGAAGAATAAGGTAAAGGTGGAAACAAACTGAGTACTTGGGGGTCAGATGTGGAAGGGAGACTTTATTCGCCCTTTTGAACCCTTTCAAATTTGAACTATGTGATATTATTATCTATGTAATTGAAACTTACAAATAAAGTCAATGGTTATAAAATTCTTCCTAAATTTATTTTAATTTAAAACAGCTGACTTTGGGGTTTTGTAGCTCCCATAGTTCATTCCTTCCCTTTCTTCTTCCCGTCTCGCCATTAAAAAAATCTTCACGTTCGAGGAGTGTTCCCTGAGGGTCATTGTTAATGACTTTTTCCCACGGAATCATGTTTTCCAAACCACAAAGAATTTAAAACTTAACAAAAGTCCCAGCTTTGGCTCAATTCTGTATCACGGCAATTCTGCAAAATAGGTGTTAGTCTTTTGTGTTTCTAAGTTCTCAGAACAAGCCTGACCAAGGCTGAAAGTCAAGTTCTCAGTCCCAGAGGCTTTGATCTTGAGGAGTTCCTCGGCTTTTCATTTTGGAGCCCATGTGGTTGGTAGCATCCCTCTGTTAAGAACATAATATATCCAAGGAGAAAGAAATCTGGATTCTGGTCCTGACTCTATTACTCATGGTGATTTATCATGTTAATTCTACTCAGTTTCACAGCCTATAAAATGGGCCCATCCTTTTCAATTCCTCAGGATCATTCTAGGGAGAGCTTCTTTTTTTTTTTTTTTTTTAAGTAGGCTCCATGCCCAATTTGGGGCTCGAACTCACCACCCTGAGATCAGGAGTTGCATGCTGTACTGACTGAACCAGCCAGGTGCTCTTAGCCTCATCCTAGGGAGAAATGAAGACCACTTAGTTGAAAGTCCCTGTGTTGTGTATTCAAGAAGGGCCTGCATCTCCCAGTCCCATCATCCTATTACTCTTACTGACAGGGACCTATGCTCACGCCCTAGGTATGTACCCGTGGGCATCATGTTCCTGGTTGGAAGCAAGATTTTGGAAATGAAGGACATCATCGTGCTGGTGACCAGCCTTGGAAAATATATCTTCACATCTATATTGGGCCATTTTATTCATGGAGGAATTGTTCTGCCGCTTATTTATTTTGTTTTCACGCGAAAAAACCCATTCAGGTTCCTCCTGGGCCTCGTCACACCATTTGCAACAGCGTTTGCTACCTGCTCTAGGTGAGTCGGTTTCAGGCGCCCTCGGCTGCTCTGAGCCATAGTCCTGTGGAACCAGCTGAGTCCAGTCGTAGATGCACAACCAGTGTTTGGTGTATTTTGATTTATTGAAAACTATAAATTGGTCTTGTCTGGTTTTTTGAATTACCAGCCCCACACTTCTATGGAGGTGGATTTCTGGGATTGCCAGAATGAGGGATTGTCTCATTCCCTTCTCCTTCTTGCTCCTTAGAGGTCAGATCATTATTTAACCTCATTGTGGGTCCTCACCCTACTTAGTAAAAGAAGGCAACCACTTAACCTCAAAATGCATTGCAGGGAAGTTTCTAGAATGATGCTTGCCCAATTCTCCCTCTGGATACATGGATTAGAAAATAAGACCAAGGCATCACGGTGAGGAATGGGTGCTTAGCTCTCTGGGAGTCCACAGTATTGTGGGATTATCTAATTTAATACAAAAGATGCACCTTGTCATTATTGGAAATGCTTCCAAAAAATTGGGCTTTCCGAGTATGTTAAAGAAAACTTTCAAAGGATGGCTGCACATTGCATTCATACGTTTGGTTTTTGCCTCTCTGCTGCATGTTTCCTCCCATCCTGAATGGCTATTTCTATGATAAGGTGGTGATGGTAAAAAGAATTAGGGAGGAAAGTTTCTCTGGCTTAGAAACAAATCTGCTTCTCAGCTGTGGCGGCCACCCGCAGGGCTAGCTGGAGAGAGCAGGGCTTGTTTTTCCAGTTATCCAGGAACATAGTCCTCTCCAGGCTCTCACAGCCCTTGCTACTTCTTGGCCTAAAAGGAAAAAAAAAGTCATAGTTTGCCTTTGACTTCTGGGGGGAACGTTTCAAGAGAGGAGATACGCATGTAGAGTAAATAGTTCTTTGCTGTCCATTTTGCACCATGAGGTAATGTGGGGTTTCTTGAAATATTTGGAACAGGTGTATCCAGGTAAATAACATAACAGGTAAATCTAGGGAGTCAGATTTTGAATACTTTGGGAATTGACATTACCGCACATTGTGACAGAAGCTTTGAAACAATTCCAATTTTTCGTTCTTCAAGGGAAGAAAACCAGATACTGGGATGGTGCTAATTGCTCTGTTCCTGGGTCTGAGCTGAGCAGTCTCTTAGCCAGGCTGGGAAGGACTCTTGTCATGGTTGGCCGTTTCTCCCTTTCCAGCTCAGCAACCCTCCCCTCCATGATGAAGTGCATTGAGGAGAACAATGGTGTGGATAAGAGGATCAGCAGGTTCATCCTCCCCATCGGGGCCACTGTGAACATGGATGGGGCAGCCATCTTCCAGTGTGTGGCCGCGGTGTTCATTGCCCAGCTCAACAACATTGAGCTCAAAGCAGGACAGATTTTCACGATTCTGTAAGTTCATTATTCTTCATCTTCAGGTCTGGGTCAAAATTTCAGAGGTTTTTCGTTATGTGTGTGATTTCCTTTGAAATACCTCACGAATACCAATCTCACCATGACTTGGTGGGGGGCGGTTCCCATTTAGAAAATGACAACGTGAATTCATTACTTAAAGAGAGTGGAGCCTCTCTGAAGGGCTCAGCCAGCAGCATCTAGGGTTGTGTGGTTTTCGGTTTCTAAGCCATAGCCGCCACATTGCATTTCTCTGTGCTCACACCATGCTCTGTGTCAATGGCTAGTCTTCTGTGCCGTCCCGTAGAGTAACAGCCACAGCATCCAGTGTCGGCGCAGCCGGCGTGCCAGCTGGAGGGGTCCTCACCATCGCCATTATCCTGGAGGCCATCGGGCTGCCCACTCATGACCTTTCTCTGATCCTGGCTGTGGACTGGATTGTGTAAGTAGCAAGTCCTAAGGGCACTGAAAAAAAGAAAGTCTGTGTCGACTTTCCTAGGAGCTTGGCACCCTGCTGGGTCTGGGGTATGTGGAGAAACTTCAGACATGCCTTGTGAAGGAGCCTACGGTTGAGCTGGCAAAACAGAATTTTTTTTTTTTGAGATTTTATTTATTTATTTGTCAGAGAGAGAGCATGAGTACAAACGGGGAGTGGCAGGCAGAGGGAGAAGCAGACTCCCCGCTGAGCAGGGAGCCCGATGCAGGACTCGATCCCAGGAACCCTGGGATCATGACCTGAGCCAAAGGCAGACGCTTAACTGACTGAGCCACCCAGGTGTCCCGGGCAAGAAAAAATTTAGAGCTAGGAAAAATTAAACAGTATAAGAGTCAAAGGCCCATGAATGACCATGAAATGTCATTACTGAGAACTTGGTTTGAGCATCCAGGAAAATGGGGTCCAAGACCCAGGCTGGGCCCCCAGGGCAGGCACAGGCGGGACAAGGGTCTAATGTTGGCTGCATAGGGGTCATAGCCATTGGAGCAGTGAGCCTTTAGGAATGATTGTCCTTGGCCTGGGACATGCAAGGAGTGATCTTGGCGAGGGAACTGAAGATGAACCCAGCTGATGTGAGTGGATTGGGGAAGAGGAGTTAGGAAGGAGGTGTGATTCAGGCCACCATCACCAGGGCTCCTGTAAGGGCATAGAACAGTGAGTGTTGATTCTGAGTGTGGATTCCTTGAGTTGTGTGATACCTTCTTTAGGTGTAAACAATACTTGTTATATAGGGAAGGTCACCTGAGGTACTAATGTTGGACAGTAGAGCACATGGATAAGAAAATGAAACCCTGGAGCCCTGGAGCCCTGGAGCCCAGGTACCTGGGTTCAAATCCCAGCTTTACTAGTTGTGTGATAGGGAACTGTTCTGTGCTTTGATCTGCTCACCTGTCGAATGGGAATAATAATAGAAGCTACACCAGAGCTGTGTTGGAGATGAACTAAGTTAGCATATCCACAGTGCATAGAAGAGTTCCAGGCTTGTGGTAAAGCATTCAGTAAACATCAGTGAAGAAAGACACTGCCGGCCAGGCTAGCCAGAGCCAGGCACGGCATAATCTAAACACTGGAGTCTGACACTGGGCTCGTGGCTCTGCCCATTGTGGTTGGGAATGGTGGTTTCCAACCTTTTGTGTAAGCTCTGGAAATCTGAAAGGACTTCTCAGAATCCTTACAGTTCCTCAGAACAAGGAGGGTGAAATGTGCAGCAGAGACCCACATTGTCCACACAGCTCATCAGAGGGAACTCAGTCCCTGAGCTGGTGAGTTGGACAGGACCAGAGCGGAGTGTCAGAAGCCAGCTGCCTCTGCATGAGGAAGGCAGGCATTTAAGAGGCAGTTAGTCAGGAACAGGGACAGAGCACCAGGCAGACTGCCCAGGAGAGACCTGAAGTCACATGAGCCACCCACCACTCCGCGGCCTCTGCTTGCACAGCCCTCAGCTTCTCCGGTGCGCGCAGGCGAGTTCACTTCTTGCCCCGAAACGGTTGCTCTGAGCCCCAGGAGAGAGGGGGTGGTTATTGGACTAATCTGTGGGAAGACCAGCTCCTGGAAAGGACAGTGCTATGAGATGGCGTTTGCCAACTGCCATGGAATACATGCGAAGTTGAACATTGAGCAGAGACACGGTGTTGAGGCGAGAAAAAGAAGGGGCGTTCTCACAGTGTACTGCTGAGCAGGAGAGAAGCTGGGTCCGAAACCCTGTCTACACTCTCCGTCCCAGCTACGTGGGACTCTCATACCATGGTGTCTACTCCACATAAAATACATACCTAGAAAGATGTTACTAGATTCGCTGGGAGTTGTGAAGTGTGGGTGGGTGACCTTTGTTTTCTTCTTTATACTTCTTTCCAGGTTTTCCACAGTCAGGGTCTATTACTTTCCTGAGAATAAGAAATACTGAAAGAAGCTCAGTTTAGAGTAAAGTGAGGCCTGTGCCCAGGACAGCACGACGAGGGTGCGCGCAGGCTGCTGTGGCGGCAGGGCCCAGCGGCACCCGCGGCAAGGCCTGCCTTTTCTCCCCCCGCAGGGACCGCACCACCACCGTGGTGAACGTGGAAGGGGACGCGCTGGGTGCAGGCATTCTCCACCACCTCAATCAGAAGACCATGAAGAAAGGGGAGCAGGAGCTGAGCGAAGTGAAGGTGGAGGCCGTCCCCAACTGCAAATCGGAGGAGGAGACGTCGCCCCTGGTGACGCACCAGAACCCCGCTGGCTCCGCAGCCAGCGCCCCCGAACTGGAATCCAAGGAGTCCGTTCTGTGAGGGGGCTGGATCCGGGCTGGCCCCCCTGGGTGGTGGTGCCCCGCTGTGGGAGGGCGGCCAGCGGGCGTGGGCACTGTGCTCACCGACTTTTAGCCCTAAGCAATGCTTTGGCCCAGTCACCTGTTCGAGGATTGCGTCTCCGTGCTGGCATTGGGCTTCCCGGCGGGACTGGTTACCGGAGACCAGGACGCTCTGCCATATGGCTTGATTCATGTCCAGGTGCAACTGCGTGTGCTTTGGAAACCCGTCCTGGAGCTGCAGGCTGGGGGCGGAATGGGCTCCCAGGGACCGGGTGGGTTAGCGCTTGGAACAATGTACATGTGCCCTTCACTCTGCCCGCGGGGGCTTTCTGGGCAGACGTAGGGGGTTTACAGTCCTCTGTCACACTGCCTTGTGAGCCAGAGTAATTGGAAAAATTCCCAAATTCTTACCCTTGGCTGGAATTCACTGAGCTGGGACTCGAGGTATTGAGATTTCGAACTTCGAGGTGTGGCTGGTTCTGATTCACTGGTTGCTGGTAGGCTTGGAGGCGCTGCACGTGGTCCAGTTAGAAATACTCCAGATGGCGTTAGCACTGTGGGGGTCTCTGGTCAATGGCATGAAATAAACAGTTTAAATGCTGAGGTCAGAGAAAGGAGGTGGGGGGGGGTGTGGCCGGCCAGGGTAAGGAAAGCACCCTGTCAGGACAGACAGACACACACACAGAGGTACACACAGGCGTGCTCAATCTCATCCCAGCCCCACGGAAGTTTTCTGCTTCCAGGACCTGGCCTCTGACAACACTGTAGCTTTATCCCCATCCACTCTGATCTGGCAACAGGCCAGAGAGGGGCCTCTTCCTCCGTGATCATCACATTCAGGACCTGCTGGTTTATCAATCCATTCTTAGAATTCAGCTAGCCCCCTAAAATACTGCACCCTGCAAAACAAAAACAAAAACAAAACACATAAAGCCACTCACTAATTGGGGTGGGGTGGGCTGCCCCCATTCCTAGGTGCCCAGGTCCCCTGGCTTTGGCTGATTGCTGTGGGCTTGGTTTCTTTTCCTGCCAGTAGATCAAGAGTTTAAAACCGTAAGCCAAATGTTCCCGTTCCTGCAGATACCTGCTGACTTGGTCTGAATCTAGGTGAGGGGGCTTTTTCAAGAAGACCGGTGTTGCCAGGGCCAGGGAGACCGAGACCGAAAGGCACAAGAATGCTCTTTTGCTGTGGCTGTCGCTGTGTCTCCACGGTGTGACCTGCGGCGGGTCCTGGGCCTCACTTTACCCCATTTGTAAAATGGGCTGTTGTCACCTGCCTCTTACCTACCTCAGAGGGATTTGGTGAGGCAAACTGAGTGAATCCATGAAAATACCCCTTTCACTTCTTGGATATCAAGTGCTAACACCTCTTTGCTCTTCTTATGTTTTACCCAAATGATACCTTTTTTCACAGAGGTCTCATGCTCTGGGTAAAGACAGCTTCTCTGAGCAGAACTTCGTGCTCTGTGTGCGCTAGCAGCTCTCTCATGCCACCTGTTCTCTTCGTAGGTGTTTGCTAGCGTCAAGTGCGACTCTTCCTGATGTTGTTCAGGTGTTCCTGAATGAACCACCCCATCTTGCAGCACATTCCGGGTCCCTGGCTTCCCTGTGACTCCCAGACCCCAGGCACCGGCTCGGCCACCCCACAACGGGCCATTAACAGCTCTTGGGTGTTTGGCCTTGGGCGTTTTCTTGTTTTCCCTGTTGTTGTGGCATGGCTGTCACCCAGACCCTGCAGAAGGGGAGCACGCCCTGAAGATGTGTGTCCATGCTGTTGAGAATGGGCGGGCGGGGACAGGCAGTCAAGCTCCTCCGTTTTAAAATTGGGGGTGTGTGCCTGAGTGGAAGGAGTGGGGAAGAGCCATGGGCACAGAGCTGGCCCGGCCAGTGGGAAGGCCCGACTCACTCCAAATCTCTTTAAACCAGCCAAGCCACTCCCATCCCCTGTGAGGCCAAGGGGGACCGGGAACTGAGCTGAGAGCTGCCTGGAAACCTTGACCCTCTGGCTCCTCGCTGATCCCCTTCTGTTTTGAAAGGGGAAACACATTGTTTGATCCCAAATTGCAAATGAACATTCACTATATTTCCACCTTCGCCTTTGGTAGATATATATATATGTGTGGCTCTATATGCACACAAATGCGTATATGTATGTGTGTATCCACATTGTTTTAGCTCCAATCCAAGCAAGTTTGAATTTGGATAGAGGTGAACAGTGTCATGGCTTCTGCAGACTGATTTTCCTGTGTCTAAAAGTGAATTTCACAAAACATAAAAATTAGAGCGGCACATCCAGTGAGCGCGCCTCCTGTGTCCTGAAGCCAGCAAGGCGGTAGGCAGAGTGCCAGGGCCTGGGGCAGGTGTTTCTGTATGGAATCCGCCACTACGGCTCCCTTTCCCCTGGGAGGAAGAAGGTGCCCTGTGCCTCCCTGGTTTTCAGTCTGTAGGAGCAATCAGACCAGGAGGGACCCGGCTGGGGAACATCCCACTTTCTCACTGTCTGAAGCTGTCTCCCCTGCTCTTCTAACATGTTGTCATAAATACTGTTCAAATACTGTTCAGCTCTGTTTTGTGTGCGTGACATTTGCCTTAAAATATAGCAGTCCTCAAAATGAATACAGTATTTCTACTAGGATCTGCACGTTCCTTTATTCCTTGTGTTGTGAAGTAGCAGTTACTGATGGAGCTCTTCTAGGGGATCACCTGGGGGTGACTGAATGGATTTTGTTCTCGCCGCGTTTAGCCAGCCTGACCTCCTGAAGCAGGGTAGGCCCACTCAGGTGGGCCAAGCTGCTGCAGGGCGGTCACTGATGGGGCTCGCCGAAGGTGAGTGTCCAGCTGCTTCTGGATGCCTCCTAGTCAACACTAGCAGGACTCATGAAAAAGTGGTGGGTTTGCTACATACCTCCATAAAATTAAGTCTTGTTAGAACAACTAGGTCAACAGACCTTAACTGAGCATCTGTACACTAAGAGCCATGCTGGAAGAACGCCCTAGTCCATAGAATTAATGGGAAAGTCCCTGCGTGAGGCACTTGCCCAGGCCTCCACCATCATCCACACCACACCCAGCCCATTCTTTTATATAATCTCATTTTCAGTGACACCACATTCCAGCACAATTAGGGAATTTAGAAGCCTCTTATAAAAGATTATCCGACAAGCTCACACTGGAAGCCTTAGTTTCCAGGCTCTGGGGCCTCTGAAGAAACAGGTCCTATTCTGACCTGGACATTTCCAGCTCTTCATATCATACAGACACCGGTTTTAATTTCTGGACAGGCCCCAAAGGGCTGTTTACACAGACCAAGGGCCTGATGGGGCCAGTTACTAATGACCAGATTCCCATCTTGGAGGACAGCGGTCTTGCTTCTCGGTTTTGAAGAGTGTTTGAAGGTTGAGATCGGTGCTCAGTGCTTCAGCTTTTTAATATAGCCAAATCAAGAGGAGCAGTTCCGTAAGCTGCCTCTTCCCAGGTGAGCAGAAAGTGTGCTGTTCTGTGGGGTCACCTGAGCCTGCTGGGGGGCACTTCCCACTGTATCCAGGAAGGACATGAGTGACATAGCAAGGAGTGTGCCCTGTCTGGGCTCCATCTGAGCTCTGTTGCTTGCTTTTTCTGTGACCCCAGGCGCAACAACCCCTCCGAGCCTCAGCCTCCTTACCTTTTTTCTTTTTTTTTTTTTAGTAAGATTTTATTTATTTGACAGCACAAGCAGGGAGAGTGCGCTCGCAGGCAGAGGGAGAAGCAGACCCCCTGCTGAGCAAGGAGCCAATGAGGACTCAATCCCAGGACCCTGGAATCAGGGCCTGAGCTGAAGACAGACGCTTAACTGACTGAGCCACCCCAGGCTCCCCAGCCTCCTTATCTTTAAAATGGGGACAATAATCTTACCAGGGGCATCACTCGAATGTCTCTTATTCACAGAAGAAGTGCTCTACTCATGCTTTCTCTCTTTAGCTGTATCCTCACAAGTTGCCACTCAATATGCCAGCAACACCCTGTCATCTAGACGGAAATTTGCTTTCCTGGTCAAGCTCAACGCCTCATCACATTCAGGGAAGGTGCAGGCAGGCTTAGGTGTGGGGGTTCTGGCCTACCTCCCAATCTCAGGGCCTTTGACCTGCAGTCCCCTTTACTTGGGGTTGCCAGTAAGTGAGTACATAGCAAGAGGGAGAATCTTAAGTCATTTGAAAGAAAACTTCCCCCTCTCAAAGAAAGACAGCCATGAGTCCTCACTGGCTTTTCATCGTTTCAGAGAATGGCACTGAGTATCCTAAAATTTCTCAAATCAGAGTCTCAAACCTGAATTGTGTGTCTTAGAAACAATATATAAAAGAGTATTCGGCTGAATTTTTTAGCAGATATAGGATTATTTAGAGGAAGACACAAGACTGAGATGAGAGCCTTGGGATCCCTCGGGTGGTTTGTAACAGGTGAACTTGCCCCAGGTTCTAGGACACAACTGTCCCCAAGCTCTGCCTTTAGGGGGAAAAAAAATGCATAAAGCTCAGAAGTTTTCCTTCTTTGAAAAAAATAGTTTAAGGGATGTCCTGAGCTCAGTAACGATGCAGTGTCTCTTCACTTTTTAAAAAATATAATAGTTTTATTGAAATGTAGTCCACATACCATAAAATTCACCCTTTTAAGGTATACAATTCAGTGTTTTTTAGTATATTCACAGAGTTGTGCAACCATCACCACATTCTAATTCCAGAACATTTCCATTACCCCAAAAAGAAACCTAGGACCTCTTGCATCCACTAATTTGCTTTCTGTCTCTATGGATTTGCCTACTCTATAGAGATTTTGTATTTATAGGTAGAGATGTTTCCTTTCATAGATACATCCCAGATAAAGAAAATTGATGTTCAAAATGTAATCACTGCCCACATTCCCACTACACTCCATTCTCCCCACACATACCCAAAGGAGATCCTATAAGATCTCCTTTTATTTTTTTGAAAGATTTTATTTATAAGCTGTTTCCATCTTTTTTTATTTAAAAAATAAATCCGACTCTTGGTTTTGGCTGGGGTGGTGATCTCAGGGTTGTGGATTCAAGCCCTGCATCGGGCTCTGCGCTCTGCATAGAGTCTGCTTGTTACCTTTCCCCCTGTGCCCTCCCATTCAGGCTCTCTCTCTCAAATAAGTAAATCAATCTCTTAAAAAATTATTTTTAATAAGTGGAGGCTAA